CTACTAACTACTAACTACTAACTACTAACTACTAACTACTAACTACTTACTACTTACTACTAACTACTTACTACTTACTACTTACTACTTACTACTTACTACTTACTACTTACTACTACTACTACTACTACTACTACTACTACTACTACTACTACTACTACTACTACTACTACTACTACTACTACTACTACTACTACTTGCTGCTGCTGCTGCTACTACTACTACTACTACTACTACTACAGCTACTACAACATACTACAACTATTCATTACAGGGCTCTATTGGAAGCCACCCAAAAACCCACTGAGAGGATAGATTTTCAGTGTCGCCGGTGGGTTCGTCGAAAAACTCTGCGTGCTGCACGATGATGGATGACCCGATGTTGGATGACCCGGCGGGCTTGGGTGGAATGACCTGAAATCCTGTTGTGCAAGGTTGCCCATCCATGCAGGTTTCTTGGAATCATTGCTTTGTTTGCTGACTTGTGCAACTCGTAAGGAATGAGGGAATGGATCCAAAGGAATCTCTGTTGGAGGCGAAACTTCCCTCGTTCCCCTACTAAGAACCAGTCAGTTTGTTTTGTGTTGTTTTGTTTTCTCTTTCTTTCAGCTTCCTCTGGATGGGCTACCGTTCTGGCTGTGTAGCCTTGCCCAGCTTTTGCATGTAGGCGCTTTCCGGGCTTTCCGGGGAACTATACTTTCGCAGCAACCTTGTGTAGCCTTTGCATAGCCTTGTCTTATAGTGTTTTGGGGCTGAGCAACAAGAAAGACCGCGAAGCAGACATCGAAAACGATAGTAGGTCAATAGTGTTTGATTCCGCAGCTACGTAGAGTTCGATTCGTTCTCTCTCAACTCTTACACACCAAGGTTCCCGTTGATAAGGGCCTTTGTATTATTCGATGTTTTTTCACTTGTTTAATTCACGATGTTCACCCTGATGGCCAAGTAAGGTGCGAAAAACACCGTGAGGTCCGGTGCTTTTTCGCTTCTCAGACCCTCCTCGCCCACGAGGCGTGTGACCTTTCTCTTGGCCATCCTGGGCAACTTTGCGGCCTTCGCAGCCTTTGGCCGCCTGGACCGGGCGAGTGGCGCTACAGCGGAGTGACGAGACGACCGGCGGTCACGTCGAGAGTGACCACTGAAGCCCTTGGGGTTGGGAGAACTGCGCGTAAAGGTATGGCATTTGCATCACACATTTAGAGCAAAAGCGACTCTCGGGTGTTTTCCTCCCACTCCGGTCTTGGTCGGTCGGTCCTACCCGCGTGCACCGGGGCCTTTGGAGCGGAACAACAAAACTGCTTCGGATCAGTTTCAGAGTCAACTGACGATGAAGATCTTCCCTTTGAGCCTCACTGAGCAAGAGCCATGGAAGTACGGGAAGTACGCAGCCAGGGCATCTTGGCCATTGTGCTTGCCAGGAGTTCCAACAAATGCTGGTGGTTGGACCACGAAAAAAACACTTATATCAGACTTTGTCAGACACCGTACTCGTTTTGACCATCCCCAAGACACAGACCGTTTTTCGGACTTCAGTCGACTTCACGCGGCTCTTCTCATCGGGCGCACCAGCGGCCAAAGCCTGCCGTCTTCGATCGCGCGACCCAACGGGCTCAGCCCTGCTCGACTCGCTGCGAAGCGTGGAACCGGTTCGGACGGTCGGACGGTCGGGACGGAGAAATCTCCCAGCTCCGATCGTTTTCGTGTATGGCGAGGATGTAGCATAGATGTATAGTTCCATGTGAGCCGCTCTAAAAACCTGCCTTTACATCTTAAGTAAGGACCTTGTCATATTGAATTCCGCGTAAGCAAAACCCTGGGTTGCGTAAGATTGCGTAAGCATTTCGCGTAAGCATTTCGGAAGTTTGCGTTGCGTAAGCAAAAGTGAGGGCCGCGTAAGCAGCGCGAAAGGCCTCGCGCAAGGAAAGTGATACGACATAGGGAGTGACTCCAGGTTTTTAGAGTGGCTCATGTGATAACACCAAACATCTCGCTACATAGTTCCAATGGAAGTACACATCTCGCTATAGGTTACATGTATAGTTCCAAACTAGTTTGGAGATGTGTGGGGGTTCCATGAAACATCTCCAAACACGCTGGTATCCTGTGAGTCGACATCGGACATCCACCTCCCAGGTCCCCCGTCCACTCGCGCAGGCCGAGTCGCAGCGTGTGGGAGCGGAGGCACCGAGGAGGGCCTTGCCTGGGTGCCCAGCGAGCGACGTGACTCGGTACCCTGTGTACTTCTTTATAATCATGGGTGGACCATGGCCCCCTTTGAAGAGGATATGGTCCTCAAGAGTGGTGTATGGTGGTGTATGGTGTAATCACGGTGCAAGACACAACAAGTGACAACTGGCTGACTGGCGGAGACGGAATCCAATCTTCCGCCTTTTTCTCCGCTCCACACCTCCTCGAGCTCGTCTCAGAACGGCGCAGCTCTTTCCGGTCCAGGACCGCTCTCGAAGAGTGTGTTCCGGGCTTTGCAACTCCTTCCAGGCGGCTTTTGCCGGCCTTTCTCGGGTCAACGGCTTCACATGAAACCCGCTGGAGGGTGAACCCGCCCTCTCGACTCGCGACCTGGGTGGCCTGGGTGGCGGCGCCCGACCATTAGGACGCGGTTTTAGGATCGGCCACCTCGGTCGGTCGGCACGTGCTGAGACCAGGGGCGATGGTCAGACGTGTGGGGAATGACGCGGTGTGCACACCGATGCGGATGACGTGTGGTGGGGTGGATGCTTAAAGTTGAACAGAGAATGTGCCAGGGGTTCTGGTTCAAACTGCGCAGCTGGAACCAAATTGATGCAAATGGGAGGGGGTCCTGTTGACACTCCCATGGAACTGGCATGTTGGCCAATCAGTTGGGGTGGTTGAAAAGGGATCAATGGGATGCTAGATATATGCCTCACATTGTCGGTGTGGGTGTATGCACGCCCCATGATCGGGATGTCCACTCAGTAGGTGCCATCCTCCATGTTCTGATGAGACCCAGAAACAGGGGTCAACTCGACCCACCGGCCACTGCGAACACACCGCACGAGCGAATGACATGAAAGCACCCTGCCATGACACTTTTCTCCACGAAGCGACGGGTCGTGGGAAGATGTGGGAAACATGAAGATGCCACTGGCATCGACAGAGCATCAAGAAACATGCATCTGCCATCGACTCGACCTCGCGGTGCGACCAAGTGAGGAACTCCCGGCTTTTGGCTGAGGGTCTACCTGTCAAGTGTGCGAATTGTTCCTTACCCCCCCCCAAAAAAAACGACCTCAGTCACCTCAGTCCTCAGGTCGGAACAGATGAGGCTCGACCTCATGCAGCTGGAGGTGATGAAGGAAGACTTCAAGGCTCCGACAACTTCACCGAAGCGACGAGACCCACCGAGACAACACCCTGGTGATGGGGCGGGCGGGGGCTTTTGGAAGGTTTGGGAAGCACACGGTGTTGGGGTAGAGCACCGCGCTGAAAGAAGGTGGTCTTGTTGGCGAGGCTCCTTTTCAGCGGCAGATTTGGAGGGTGAAACGCACGACATTGGAGGGTTCTTTCTTTCTTTGGAGGGTGTTTTTTGGGAAGGTATGAATCCATCATCCTCTGGTGCTCTGTGGACGCTTCCAAACAATTTTGCTGTATTTTACTTACTTGGCGGTCTCACAGCAGGTTGAGCAGCACTTGGTGTGAACATTGGGGCACTTCCCAAGATGGGACTTGTTTTCAAACATAAAGACGATGGCACATGATCCACTTTATGTATCTTTAGAACTATAGAACTGTATTTTAAAGTATTATAGAACATGCATGAACATGCCCTTAGATATGTTTAGCCAGGTGGATGTATATATATATACCGTAAGTCTAATGGGACAACTATATATATGATATAATATGTGTATATGTTAATAGAACAACTGTAACATGGTGTCTACATGATGTTTGATTATATAGCTCTTATTTATATATATAATATACATTGTTACATAATATATATATATATCTGACTTGTGTATGCTTGTTTGACTTGTATTTTGTATATATCTTCTAAGTAACTTTTTGTCATTGCGATATGAAATCCGGAATATGTCAAACATATCACATGTAATGTGTATCATTGTTCTTGGATGCTCCCATGCTCCACATCCTGTGAGATTGTGTGTCGCAGGCTGCCGAACGTCGGTGACGTCACGTCGCGTCGCGTCACACCGGCGCTCGGTGACGTGCCGCGGTCAGGCCACAGCTGCCTCGTACATGGAGTGCAACAAGGTGCAGTTGCAGCACATCGGCCAGTCTCCGTGACGGCCAACCGTGTTGAAGACGGCCACGCGTTCCGTGACGGGTTGGTGCGGGCAAGAAAGGAGAAAGGGGGCCAGAGATGTGAAGACCTTAGGAAGTCCTGTTCGAAGAAGCCAAGATCTTCATGAGAATGACATAAGAAAACGAGAGCTATATATATATATTATATACTGCATGTTGCAATTAGTGATATGAAAGGCAGTCACACGCAGCCACAGTGAAGTCCTGTTCTACTACTACAGGCCCTTCACAATCGAACGCACAAGCTGACAAGCTTGAGGATCGATCCTCATGGTGTCACGGGTCACTATGTGTCACTGCATGCCAAGCGAAGCGGGCAGAAGATCTGGCCTGTGTACAGAGCGGGCGCCTTTGGCGTTCGACGCAAGCAACGCCACCCGTCAAAGCAGTGCGGAAACTGGACATCCTCGGGCCGTTCGTCATCAATAGACTGTACCTGCACTACAGATGGACCTCCAGGGTGTCCCCTGGAAAATGAGGATCCTAGTGGAAGACTGAAAATGGAGGGCGAACTGCCAGGGGTTTCTGGGGGATACTCTGCTTGAAACCTTTATTTGAGGTCCCTGACTCTGTGTTGTCCATCCAAGAACTGCCACATAACCCCACTTTGGGTGGGGAAGAAACAGGTCCACTGTGAGTCTCAGTGCATTCAGCCGAGGACTAGGGAACCTGTGAGTTCTGCATGTTGGATCCCCTGCGACTTCATGACCTCATTGCGCCCCTCGCGCCGGGTGTCCAACCCGATGCGAGCACCCTTCATCTCCCACCATTTTGGAGATCCCAGTCCTGTTCCAAACTCTGGGACGAGAAGAGTCTTTGAGCAGACCACTGGAGATGATTGCATGATTGTTTCACGTGTGTCATTTTCAATATCGGGTCCATTTAATCTGTCTAACTTTGCAAGACCATTGGTGACAAGACCGCAGCTGGTGTTCGCTCAAGGAAACTCCCAGAGTTTGAATGTTTTTTCCAACTCCCAGAGTTTCAACAAAGACTTCGGAACGCCCAAAAGTGTATAGCAAACAGTGTTCCCACAGACTTCCAGGGTCGTTGCAGGGAATTGGCAGGGTCCGTGGTTTTCACCTCGTCCGGGTACTTTGAGCCACGTCGAAGGACCTTTTGGGTCACCGAAGGGTCACCGAAGGGTCACCGAAATGGTACTGTTGACCGGTGTTTGAGTCACCGAATCTCAAGTCACCATGGACTGACATGACATGCAGATGCTGGAGAGGTTGAACACGAAAACACGCGCACGACCGTGCGTTGGAATGGCAAGGCAGTAATTGAGTGTGTTTTAGTCTTCGACTTCAGCCCGGTAGATGAGTACATGGCCCATCAAATGGGGCGACATGTTTGGATGCCCGACTGCAACTTGCGCTGCACTCCGCTCCTTTTGCCCTCTCGTGCGGTGGCTGAGCGTCTCTTTTTTTTTCCCGCGAAGGTTCTGGCGGCGAGTTGCAGCATGTTGATCCGTGTTGCACATATCTTCAGTTCCGTACGTTTCTGTGAAGCAAGCCCTATGGCGGCTTCCAGGCTCGCAACATGAAAAAAGCTAAAAGAAAATCATGACAACTTATGTACAATAATTATCTAAGAAATGCTACAGCAAGTGGCTTGTTCATTCGCTCGAGCGTTCCAGTGAAGTGGGGTGAATGTTTGGCTCTCTCAAGAGGAGCCGTTTGACAGCTGGTCGGAACTCAAGTAAGTGACAAGCTGGCCAGTAAAAGGACATAGACATAGATTATGTATTTGCACGATTGTACACCTGTACATACCATATTGACCTCTATGTTTGGCTCAAGAAAAGGGCGCTCTACATGTTGGTACTTGTAGGCTGTTGGCCTGTAAATTCAGGTTATCAGCCGTATCGCCAAAGAGCGGTACGCGCCATTCTAGCTGTGTCACCTACCCACCCTCGTTCTGCGCACACGTGAGGTGGCATGGCGGATAGGCCCTTCGAACCAATTCGAGATGGCACGGATCGATCGAGGTCCAGAGTCGGTGATGCCGATGAGAATGGGTCATATGTACAGACGGAAGTCTTCACCTCAGAGCATGATGAGGATGCATTGGTTGAAGCACATGGGAACGTGTTGCCACCGGCCACATCGACTGGTGCTGTTATCTTGTCTCCCACGAGCCCTGCCTTTATTCCGTCGAGTACATACAATGAGTCGAGACAAGTCATTAACCAAACGGCAAACTTCCACGATCAAAGAATGATCAACGTCAACCTGGACAAGTCCGCTGAAGTCGCACAACTTGCAGAAGCGCGACACAGGGAACTGATGTCCAAGAAAGATGAAGAGGTGAAAAAGACAGTGGAAGCCATTCACCGCGAGGCACACGACCATGTCAAGGAGCAACTCGAGTTACAAGAACGAAGAGCTGCATCTTGGGCTGCAAACGAGCAAGCTAAGATGAATGCACAAGAAGCAGTCATTAAGAATGCTGCGTTGACTGAAGCTCAACTATACAATCACAACTTGACAGAACTACAACAACAAGCACAGAGTCGTGAATCGCAGCTGAGAGAAGAGTTGAGAACACAAACAGAGCTCATTAGAGAACTTCGAGAGAAGATGGAAACATCCGCTCGAGGGAACTATGAGCCTGCTGGAACACCGGCTAACCTCAGGACAACTCTTCCAGGTCCAATGGGTTCAAACGAGCTACCTCTTGGTCAACCATATCGACCAATGCAGAAATCAATGACTGATAGTTCAGGCGAACCCTACCGTGATGCTCTTGCGAGTGGAGCGGTTAATGCTCCGAAGGTAGCTGGAGGTGGTCCTCCAGATCATCCCAGTTCATCAAGTTCGTCGTCATCCGATGACAAGAAGAAGAGCAAGAAAGACAAAAAGAAGAAGAAGAAAGATGACAAGGAAGAGAAGCGTGGCAGATCACCCCGCAAAAAGAACAAAAAGAAAAACAAAAAGGGGTCACCTTCGCCGTCCGAGTCACCTTCATCGTCGAGCTCATCTTCTGAGGATTCATCCTTTGCCCGTAAGGTTAGGAAACATTTGAAGAAGATGAAGAAAGAGGATCGTGAACAGAGGGCCAAAGAGGCCGAAAAGATCCTCATTCCCAAGTTTCCTACACCTGAAAGGTATAGAGATTGGCGAATTAAAGTTCGGGACAATGTGTCAGCGGCGTCCGCTAAGCCGGACAAGGCCAGGTTATGGCTAGGTAAGGTTTATGAAGACGCCGTGACCACTAAGGACCTGGATGACTCTGAGGGTTTCATCACGCTGGATGCAAAACTTCTTTCAAGTCTCACGAACTGTGCGGAGGGGGACCTTGCTCGCCAACTGAACACGTTTAAGGAGACCAAAGAGAAAGCAAAGGAACCGATTATAAGGGACGACAAATTCTACTGTTGTTCCATGAGTACTTTGCTACTTCCATCAAACACGGTGCTATTTACGATAAGATCTTATATGTGTCAAAATGGTGAACGAGGACCTGAAAGGTTTTGTCACGCGATGGGAGTCTGTTATTGCGGGGATGCGAACGGAAGTTGACAAGAAATGGCTTGAGGCATATTTTCATCTCGCTGTGAAGAACTTTAAGCCTTTAGCTCACGATCTTGCCATCTACGAACGCGCCTCGGAAGGGAGTGCCGAAAAGACTTACGACTTTTTGATCAAGTCAGCTAAGGCATACCTTGAAAGGAAACGTTTGGAAAAGATGAGGGATGCCACGAAGCGTAGTCTTGGAGGTAAAGACCCTGCAGCTCCTGTCATTGACCCAAGTGACAAAAAGCCGAAAGGTGTGTGCTATGAGTTTCAGAACAAAGGAAAGTGCAGTAGGCGCGACTGCCCATTCAAGCATGAGAAACCCCGTGAATCCAGCAAAGGAAGGCCCAAAGGTGGTGGAAAGGGTAGATCTTCTTCCTCACGTGGAAGGTCGTTGACTCCGGGATCAAGATCGGAAGTTTGCAAGTTTTGGAAATCTGGTGACTGTCACCGGGGAAAGAATTGTGCTTTCAAATTTCAAACATCCAGATCGTTCTTCTACACCCGCACCAAGTGACGACCGAAAGAAACGAAAGAAGAAGAAGAAGGAGAAAAGAGAGAAGAAGAAACGAAGTACTTCTCGTGGCTCCAACGGTTCTGGCGGTAGTCAGAAATCCAAAGGTGGGAAAGGTGCTCCTTCTAACCCAGCCGCTGTTTGCCTGCTGCGCACTCTGGTCTTAGCTACTGCGGTCTCATCATCACAGTCTGCTACTATCAGATGCCCGTTGGAAAGCGTGGCCATGGTTGCTACACCTGCCACCAGTTCTTCCCCATCATCTTCGTCAGGACGGGGAAAAGTAAAGTGCCTTTCTTTTGCTGACAAACCAGAAGTTTTTAAACACGTGGTTCATGTCAGTTCTTTAATGTTTCCAGTTGTTGCACGAAAACAAAGAAAGCATGTCAGTTTCCCAATAGGCCACAAAGGAAACGCCGAAGTTTTGGAAATGGCATCTGAAGATGCATGCATTGCAGCAGAACGTTTGAGCAGAGCTGTTTCAAACGAGTTGAATGGCATCGAGGCACGCTGTTGCTATCTTTGCGATTCGGAAATGGGATGCAAGCATTGTTTTAAGAACCAACAGGTCACAGTGCCTGCAACCGAGATCGCATGGATTGCAGATACTGGCAGTGCGAATGATCTGGTATCTAGGGAAATGGTCAATCGCAACGAGGTGTTCGAATCCTCGAAACCGGTTAGTCTTCTCACAGCTAACGGAGTATTCCAGGCTAATGATCAGGCTAATCTCGATATTCCCTTATTGGGAATCACTGCAAAACCATACGTACTTGATGATAGTCCGGCAGTGATATCCGTGGGACAATTATGTATTGATCATGATTGGTCGTTCATTTGGCCGTCAAATGATATACCATATTTCAAAAAGCCAAATGGGCAGAGGATCAAGCTTCAAGTGAAAGACTATGTTCCTTATTTACCATCAACCAGTGGTATGGCTATGACTGCTATTGGACATAAGTATGAAAAACATGCTTCCGGGAACGGCAAGTCTTCGTACATTCCGATTCCTACATCACCTAGTGTAGAGGAAGCACCCCATGAGTCTGCAGAAGCA